CCGAATATCGGGGGATCGAGGGAACATCGACGCCGACTGTTAGTCAGCATCGTTCACTCGGTCCTCCTTTACGGGTCCCCGGTCTGGGCGAGTATACTGGAGTACTCGCCCAAGAACGTAGAAGCGCTGAACCGGGTCCAAAGATAATTTAGAACACCCATATATACAAATAGACAAAAAGAATAAACAGGTACTTTTTGTCACGTTACACCTTTCATCACTTTTTTGGTTGGGTTTTACCTTTTGGTTCTACCTCTTCTTCCTTCAAAATTAATTTCTATAACTGTTCTTACAGCTTTCGATTCCTGCCTCTTCATAACATGACTAAACCATCTAAGTCTATTTTCTATAACAAATTTTTTTAATTATAATAGAAAAATGATTATTATTTATAAATTTTCTTTATTACCTCACCAGAAAACTTTAATTTTTGGCAAGCCAATTCGTTAATCAAAGAATTTTAGATTATGTATAAATATTATATAGATTTTACATTAATAGCTTTTTTTCACATTATCATAAAATACGTCACTTTGGTTTAACAGTACTAATTATCGTATTAAAATGTAATAAATAATTGTAATAATAGTATTATTAATAAATAGATTATGTAAGAGCATAAAATTATTCTATTGTGTCCATAACACTCGCATTTTTTTCGTTTTTGTAAATGGGCATTGAGATTTATACATGGCTATCGCGGCAGTAAAAGGTGTCGGAGAATACTATCTAGAGCAGACCTCGATGAAGCAAGATATGCGGTATTGGTTAATGATCAGAGAACATGGTTTCCGGTATTAAATGTAATGATAAATCAATAGGTCGCTGTAACACCGAAAGCCGTTGCCAAGCTCTCCCCATTCATCGATGAGTTGGGAATAATTCGTGTAGGGGATCGTCTACGAAATTCCATGTTACCCCACCGTGAGAAATATCTTATTTTAATGGCCAAAAAATCCTAATTGTCATTTCTTTTATGTGTTCATTGGCATCAATTAAGTTGCCATAGTGGTCAGCGCCTAGTTGAGTTTGTATTACTTCGCTATCATTGGATTTTATCATTCAGGTCTGTATATCGCTCGGTAATTGCGAAGTGTATCACTTGTGTACGATGAAAAGGAGCCAATCCTCAGCCGGTGATGGCGGATTTACCAGAGTTTCGGGTAACGGTCAGTCCCCCATTTTCGCGAGTAGGAATTGATTTCGCCGGTCCTCTCATTATGAAAGAAACTAATCTGAGTAAAGCAAGAACATATAAAATTTACTTGGCATTTTTTGTGTGTATGACTGTAAAGGCAGTTCATTTGGAAGTAATTCGGGACTTGTCAACCAAGGTATTTTTAGACGCATTGAGCAGATTTTCTGGCAGATGCGGATTGCCTTCTGAAGTTTACTCTGACTGCGGTACTAACTTTGTCGGTGCTAATCAAGAATTAAAGAAGTTATTTGTGTCAGAAGAACACCAAAGTAAATGTATAAATGCCATTCCTTGTCAATGGAATTTTAATCCTCCCGGTGCTCCTCATTTTGGTGGTTTGTGGGAGGAAATCCACAAAAACTTTATTAGTCCGTACGGTAGGAAATGCTGTTTTAACTTACGAGGAAATGAACACTCTGGTAATAAGGATTGAGTCTATACTTAACTCCCGACCATTGACACCCATATCCCAAGATCCCGCGGATGTACAATGTCTCACTCCAGGACATTTTTTAATAGGTAGACCACTATTGGACGTTCCGGCCCCCGATTTTACCGGCCCAAGAATCAACGTGACTAATCGCTGAAAATTGGTACAGCAATTAGGCCAGAGTTTCTGGAAAAGATGGTCTACTGAATATTTGGTTACTTTACAACGGCGCAATGGTTGGACTTGTGAGCGGCCTAATATTAAAGTAAATGATCTGATGATCATTAAACAGGATAATCTACCACCATTAAGATGGAGAATCGGTAGAGTTACCAAAGTCTATCCGGGTTCAGATAACGTAGTTCAAACAGCGGATGTTTTGACAACTCACGGCATTCTCAAGCGACCAGTCGTTAAGTTAGTTGCTTTGATTAATGATTAAATATTGTCCATATTCTATGTCACTGTATACTCAACATTATTTGTATTTATGTTTTCTTATTTGTATTTGATTGTTCTTTAATCGTATTTATTGTTTATCACATAGCCATCACAGTAATCAATGAAACTATTCTAGTCAAAGTCATCAACAAAGTTACCCTCGGCTAATACCTATTAGATATTTTATTTTTTATTTTTTGTACCATTGTAATGTGTTCCAAATCATCTATGTTAGTTAATTAGTTATTTTAAGCTCCGTGATTTTGTTCATTCAGCCTGTTAAACACATATCACATAATATCGGATCAATACTCCAACCTGCGGTTCTGTGTACCATCAAGTTTGCAATGACCCTGTCTTCCCAAAGGGGGAGCATGTTGGAGCCAGGCGACAAGGTGTGGTTAAAACAATTGGTTCTTATCAGCCGTTTCCACCACCAACCTGTTGCGCCATCGATTAGTGACGGTGCTTGCAAAAAACCAGTTGTTATATCGATGGGATATATGCCGGTTATTTTCGGTTTTTTTTTATTCTCTCGCCTTTTATTACCTTTTAGCGAGATTTTTTACGTGCGGCCTTTGAGGTTTGTTGCCTGTTATAGTTCTTCTCGGTTTATAATTAAAATTATCGGTGATCGAAAATATAGATTGTTCGTCAGTATAATATTGTGGTTTGAAATTACAATTTAGTTCGGGTTATTGAGAATTGGCATATGATTGTCAAGGCTGCTGCGAGTTCCAACAGTCATTTGGAGTAATTTGGGAATGTCGTATTGTAGCGACCTACCTAATTTTTTACAGCGTCTTCTAGGCAAGCACGAGTTGAAGAGAACAATTAACAGGTCGGATCGGCATAGATTATTCTTGTAAATATATATACATAAATTCAAAAAAGTGCTTGTAAAATATTAATTAAATACAGGAACGCCCATTCAATTATACCATAATATATATATATATATATATATACAGGGTGATTTTTTTATCATAACCCACTCAATTACTTGCAGAATAATAATAATTTAAACATTTTTTATTTTCATTATCTTTAGTTACACATTATTCTTGAATTTTTAACTATGTAATACTTTTTAAGTTCATCCCTTATGCCTTGGAGGGGGGTCAACTTTGTTTTTTTAAATGGTAACACATATTTTTAATTTAATAAAATGTTTGAGTTTTTAATTTAATAGTAAATGGCATTTGAATTTTTAATATAACTTTATTAGCTTATTAGATATAAACATTTAAAGTTTCAAAATTTTGAGTTAATATACATGTATAATACACATGGGATTGTAAATACAGGTAGCTAATTGGATTTTTATGACATTGCTGTCTCAGTCACGGATTGTTTATTATCAATTATGATTATCAATAGATATACTTTCTGTATTGTCAGTTAGTGTATTTATAAACTCATAACAATGTGCCTTACTACAATTGATAATAACAATGCTGTGTACCTGCTAATATCGATGTTATAAAAAACCAATTAGCTACCTATATTTGTAATCCCTTGTGTATTATACCTGTATATTAATTCAAAAATTTGAAACTTTAAATGATTATATCTAATAAACGAATTAAGTTATATTAAAAATTCAAATGCCATTTACTATTAAATTAAAAACTCAAACATTTTATTAAATTAAAAATATGTGTTACCATTTAAAAAAACAAAGTTGACCCCCTTCCAAGGCATAAGGGATGAACTTAAAAAGTATTACATAGTTAAAAATTCAAGAATAATGTGTAACTAAAGATAATGAAAAAAAAAAATGTTTAAATTATTATTATTCTGTAAGTAATTGAGTGGGTTATGATAAAAAAATCACCCTGTATATATGTAATTTATTACCTTATTAATATATTTCGATATTAACAAAAAAAAAGAAATTATTGTCTCTGGGTGAACGGCCGGCGATGACGTTACAGTTTTTATCTAGTAAAATGTATTCAGAAATTTAAAAAAAATTTTGTTTTTATAAAAAGTTTTAATAAAATTCAATTATACATTTATGTACGGCTTCATTAACCTTTTAAATGTAGAATAAAAAACTAAAGCAACAATTTTTAGAAATTATGTAAAATATGTAAAAAAAAATCAAATTTATCTTTATATTTAAAAATTGAATTTGTTACTAAATTATTTTAATATTTTTATTAAATAAATTTATTTGAATAATTAATTAGTACTGTTTATAAATTTACAGATTAATTGCTTAGCAACTGTTTTTATTTTTGTAAAATATTCTGTTTCTTTAATAAAGAAATGTAATTAACTCCATTATAATGTCTATTTCTTAATTATTATATATTTTAAAATCATTATACAATTTTACTTAAACAAGAAAATTTATGAAAATACCATAGTAACCGAAAATATTGGAATAATACTTCTTAAAAACAAAATATATGCAATTAATTATTTAAAAATAACAAACATTGAAAAACATTGAATAGAAATGCAACATACTTACCTTTTTTTTTAAATGAAAATCAATTTATAAAAGCTAATAGTTGTAAATATATAAGGTAAACGATTTTAATAATATTAAAAATTTTTAATTTTAGTGAAGAGGAAAATTATTAGGTTTACAAAATTACAACATAATATGTTATTAACATAACATATTATGTAGTAAAACACCTTTTTTTTAATCACTTTAAGGATAAAAACCGAAAATTCGACTCTTATATAGAATCCCCGTTTATTTTCAAATTAATAAATGATGGACAAAATATTACCAACAAAATTGTTTTTATTGTTTTTTTTAAGAAATCAATCGTTAATTTGATATAGCTTGTGTAAAATAATATTATTTTTGGTAAGGACTAGTTTTTTTTTGTTTTTTTATATATATATAGATGATTCATAAAATTTATTATGATATTATATTTAATAAAATAACACATTAGCTGATTATGAGTTCTCAAAAAAGTTTTATTTTAAAATATAAAATTTAAATATTTAAAACAATAAAAATTTAAGCATTGCAAATAACTTTAAAAGGCCAAAATTACCAATACACTTGGGTTTGGCCTTGTGAAATCTAAAAATTAGTGATTAACGATAATAAAATAATCATTATAAGAAATCTACTTCTAAAAATCAACTTTTCAGTATCTAGCTTTTAATATTTAGTGTAATAATGATAAATAATCCATCTAATCCACAATAAATGGTTTGAGTTTTTCATCTATATTATTATCATGACAGTTAATTTTTTCAAAACCCAGAATTTCATAGCAACAATTATAAGCATATTCACAAAAATTGTCAAAAGAATGACACGCAATTTGATAAACTTGGATTTCCAAAGTAGGATTTGAATTCAATGTATTTGCTGAATCAATAAAAGAATTTATTACATCGTTTTTCTCATAAAAATTATTTTTTGTAAAATGACACCATTTGTCAATATGAGCAGTGTTGCAAGTAATGTCATAATGAAAGTTATCAAGATATTTTTGAAAAATATCCCGAAATTCTTGAATTATTTCATTAATTTTTTTATTATCGTTTTGATCGACAAAATCAATTTGAAAAAAGTTATTTTTCTTCAATAAATTAAGACTATATACTACCCATTCTAATATTCTATGTAAACTTGAATGAGAGTTCATATTAACAATCCATATTGATGATTTATTTAATGTAATCAAAGAATTATACAACCCTTTAAGCATTTTTTTAGATTTGTTGAATGATTTAAATAATTCAATTAAACAATTATTTTGGTACTCAATTAAATCACTTTTGCATATATACATTATAGTAGATAATAATGTTTGGTAGTTTTTTAATATTTCTGTATACCTACATCTTAATAATTGTACTATGTGCTCTTTTTTTATTCGAAAATTTATGTCGTTAATTTTATCTTTCATTATAAAATCTACATTGTAGTATTTATCATAATATACTATATTTATGTGATTCATTGATTTCCAACCAGTTTCCAAATGAAGAATATTTAGAGCTTCAATTACATCATCTTGTTTTATTTCTGGATCTTTTGGTGGTGTGAAACTATTTCAAACAAAAGTATGATGATTATTACATAAATACATAAATAATAAATATTATTTATGGGACTTTTTATTCAGATTAATTTTATAAAAATGGTGGAAAAAATATAAATTTACTATATTCAATATCATAATACGAAACAAAAGTCTTAGAGAAATCATATTTTAATGTCATTATTATTTTATTTGAATAATTACTTAATAATATATCTCATATAGATTTACAATATTCTGAAACAGTAGTTGCGTAAATGTTTTACGTAAACAGAATTTAAATAGCACTCGCTGGGTTAATATAAATTTAAATGAAATATAACCAAATGATAAAATAAGTTATTTTCTAGTGCAACAATTGTAATAAATATTTAATATATCAATACAGAAAAATAAAGAGAATAGAAGAATATTTTCGTGTGAACGTCAAAAATCAGATAAATCATTCGCTATCACACCTTTGCGGTCCAGTGAATAAACTTATCACCTTAACTAAAAAGCGAATGTACTCTCATCAGGATTGAATCGTGATGTAAAAAAGCACTGATGAAAGAAACTTAGCAAATGTGCATCTATTATTAAATTATTCATTTCCTGAGCTTATTTTATGTCAGTATCGGACTTATTTTGCCTTGATACATGTGAAATCATGTGTAAATTAGTAGACATTGAGATAATTCAATAACCTTATATAATAACCTTATAAATTGTAGATAGATAGTTCTGAACTACTATTCTAAGTTGGATTTTTTACCTCTGTTCATTTTATTAGAAATCAATCTTTATTTTACGTTTTAAATTTAAAACAAATTTAGCAACTAGATTTTTTATTAAAGCTTTAACACTAACCAATTCAATTTGACGTATTTTAATTTTTTTTTATACGTTTCGTAATCATTTTAAAAATAATATTTTGTCAACCCTTAGATATTTAATTTTTTATTTCTGTAAATATTAGTTCATTTTTAATTTGTAGTTTTTATATACAGCTAGTTCATTATGGATTATTTTTAATAAATATTATTAACCAATAGTCATATTATTTAATGATTAATATTTCTTTTACCTTTTTTATTTAATGATAATTATTTTCATGATTTGTTTGTAAAAAGAAATTTGCCCATTCATGTTATATAAATAAATAAATATAAATATATCAAATCAAAATGATATTTTTTAAATTTATAAAAATATTCGTTGAATATATACTATAATATGTTATACATAATGTCTTACCATAAATACATTGGTATATTTATAAATTCATTATATTTTCAATAAAAACATCAAGTATTTATATTGAAATATAATAGTAGAAAATAAAATATAATGTAAAAGTTCTTACTCGGGTATTTTTGGGTTAAGAAAATGTTCAAAGCCAAGATTTTTGTACCAAATATTTATAGATTCGTTGTAAAATGAATTAAGTTTACTACACGTAGAATAAACAATGTCAAAGTTGTTTTCGTTTGAACAATCATCAATTTTAATTGTTGAATCGTTAAAACATTCGTTAATTTGATTGTCCATCAAATCAGTATTTACAGAAATTTCGATGATTTGACTATTTTGAAAAAGATTGTTTACTATTTTTAATGCGACATCATAAAATCGTTTCAAATTCTCAAATTTCGTTTTAGAGTCATTTATATTTGGTAAGATATTAATGTCAACAAAATAGGTGGCATCTAATTTTTTTACAGATTGTTGAAAAAAGTCAATTTCATCAATTATGGGATGCGGCGCGAAGCCTTCACGAAACAAATACTTTATATCTATGTAGCTTATAAACTTCATAGCATTGTGGAGATATTCAAACATAGACTTCGAATTTTTCACTTCTGTTTCAAGTAACGATACACAACTAATGAAATTTTCAAATAAATTTCTTTTATAAAACTCCAAACATTTATTGATGATAATATTCATGTAATCGAGAAATTTTTTTAGTATTTCAGTGTACTTGAAATTGAGTACACTTATTGTGTAACGATAGTTACGTGAGAAATCATCTGGTGTGCAAATTTTCTCCATTTCGGGACAATTTAAAAATTGTTTTAGTTTTAAATTTTGCATTTCATATGATCCAATTTGTGAATGAATGTGTGCCACAACTGTATTGATGTAATTTTTATAACGCTGATTATATTGTCTTTTAGCTTGTACTCCTTCGGCTGGTTTTAACACCAAAACGACAATAGATATTGAAATAAAAGAATAAAATTCCATAGAAAAAAAATTTAGTATTACAAATAACTTGTTTGAAATTTAGGAATATTTAAAATGAGAATATGCAAATGTGTTAATCAATTTATATAATTTATTTGATGAAAAAAAAATGTGTAATGAATATAATTTTTCTTTATAAAGATAAAAATGTATATATATTACAACCCAATATAGTGTGTATTTTTATTTTTCAAATAATTTTTTATGCAATATGTAAATTCTTTTATGACTTGTAATATTTTGAAAATTTTCCTAACAAAATCCTATGTTTTTAACACCAGTTGCTTCTTCACCTGAGTTCGCAACTACTCTAGATCGTTTTGTAGATAACTGCAAAAGACGTAGACCATTTGTCACTAGTTTATCGCATAGGATAGTAATATAAACAACATTGGTTTCACTAATTATTAAGTTTTAGATGTGTTAGTATAAAAATACTATACAGAAGATCGGAAAGCAGACCATATAAATACAAAAAGGGAGTTTACATTAAATCTCTTAACCCCTTCAATTACACTTAAAAATAATTTAACATGATAAAAACAAAAAGAATTAAAAATAATTAGTTTATATATTTATTGATATACTAATATTTTAATAATGTTGTTATTTTCAATGTTTTATTTAGATTAAACTAATATGCTATTCTTCAATTTCGAAAAAATTTTGAACATCCTGTAAAAATTATTATTTGTTTTATATATTTATTTATAAATTTCAACATATAATATATGATTAAAATGTTTTTATGTAAATATTTCAATTTAACATATGTCATTTTTTAAATTATCTATTTTAACTCGTTTAATTTTTGAGATTAAAACCAAATAAAAAATTCCCTGTTCAATTGATAAAATAATGTACTATATAGTTTATTTTTGTGTCTATCATTCACTTTTCTCATTCCTACTTGTCTAATTTTTTTAAACAATACATCAAATTATTACAACTAATGTCTAGTTAAACATTTTATCCTCAAACCTTATATTAGGTTTTTAATAATTAGGTTTGATGTAGATGTGTTCTTTTTTTATTTTTTTTCTCAACTTTCATTTGACCGATTTCCATTAAATAAATTTCCCTTTTTTCCCGTAAATGAGAGAAATCTCCAAAAAATTTACCAATTTAAATTTCGACATTTTTAAAATTTTTTTTACTTGAAACTGCCATAACTTTTTGAAAAATGTATGAATCAATACAATTTTTGTTAATAAGCACTTGAGGTATTTATTTATCATTTTGTATATTTTTTTTGTAAATCTGACCCTTTATCTGCCCACAATGGAGGAATCAAAATGACAACTTTTTCACAAAAAATTAACTTTTTCAACTTAACTTTTGAAAATGTTCCGGAAGGTCTGACACTTTTATATATATCTTAAATTAAAGTTAATGTAATGTACTTTAATTTGAAAAAAAAAAATTTGACCTCTGGACTTGTCTTCATGGTGAACTATTGAAGGTGTTCCAGAAATACTGACACTTTTATATATATGTCTTAAATTAAAGCTTATGTAGTATAATTTATATGGAAAAAAAAAATTCGGACTTTATTTTGTCTTCATGGTGAAAATATCTATCATATGCTATTTTACTATTTTTGTGTTAAAATTCTAGGTTTTGTATTTTATTTTATTTTAAAATGCCTTACAAAGGTTTTTGAGTTAAAAAAAATTTTTAAGTCATTTGATTTTTATTTAATTTAGATTCAATATCTACAATAAATATCAAGGTTACCATTACCGTAATCTCGCCTTGATTAAAGAAATTTCTTATTCATATTAAAATTATTTTACTATGTGATTTCTTGTTGTAGCTTTATTTTCTCAGCTCTTATTTGACCAACATTTTTTAGCAATACATCAAATGATCACAACTATTATCTAGTTAAAGATATTACCTCGAAACTAGAAAATGATGTAATAGATATTTAGCACTTATAATTTTATAATGATGATTTTTCTAATGAACTACATTATTATGGCAGATGATAGATATAAAACACCAACGCTCGCGTGTATTTTGAGTTAATGTTACTCAAAATAATAGGTTGCGCACCTGTTCCTTTAAGTTAACCAATAAGAAACATCTTTTAATTAAAATCTAAAACATACATTTTCCCCTTTAAAAACAGGCTTATAAAAGAACGATTTCTGGCTCATTCGTCTCCTTATTTTAGCTTCGATGCGAAGTTGAGAAGGTATTAATTTTACTATGATGGGTTTTTTTTTTTTTTTTGTGACTGTGAACGCTCAATCTCAGCTCTCGCTGGACCGATTTTGATGAACAATATGTAAAAAGATCACAAATAGTATCTAGTCGAAGACATTACCCTCAAAAATTGAAAAAAATTCCCTCGTTC